TTTAAAATTTTAAAAATGATTTTATGTGATTTTTCTTCAAGATTATAGAAGTTATTCAATTTTTTTATAATCTAAAAAGTAATTTTGAGATTCAAAATCTTAAATATTTTAACATGAAAAACATATAATTTTTTTTAAAAACTTATTCTGAAAATAACAATTTTTTGGTATCATATTCTAAAATCGTATCTTATAGTTTTAATCTTTAATATCACCATTGCACATTAAAATCATTATTAAAAAAATAAATAAATAAATGTTCGTATCTTCATAAGATTTACTGCTTCACATAGTAATATATTTTCAGTCAAAATATATACGTTGGGAATAATATTGCACTAAACTTTAAGTAAAATATATTTTAAAGATTGTTAAAATATGAATGACAAACATATAACTATAAAATTAGAACGGAAGATATTTATAAAAAGAGATTTATTATTATGAATTGGCAGCTTAAAATATTTATACAATCCGAACTTCACAACTATTTATAGACCATATTTTAAAGTGGTTAAAGTAAATTAAATATTTATAAAAACTTAATAATTATAATTAATTGACAATATAAAATACACTTTAATAAAACATATAATTTAAAATATATAGATCTTTTATGAACTAAATAAATAAGCTTGATTTTCAGGGTGCTGATTTATGTGGCATTGAAAATTTTGCCCATCCCATAGCTAATTAATTAATCCTATTATAGACTAGTATTCCATTCGTTAATCCCAAGTTATTATCATCCTAAGATTCTACTGCTATACACAAATAATAAATAAATAAAAATAAATGAATAAGAAATTAGCAAGTACAGTATCTCCGTGAATTCTCTGCATTTTCTTATCTACTGTTGTTTTCTTTTTCTTCTTTTCTTTCTTAACAATCTTCTTATTGAAATTATTATCGTTAATTATTCCATAATAAACACTGCAAACACACTCACAGTATTTTTCTCCCAATTCAAAATTTTCAGTTTCAATTCCATGATTTGAACAATACTTTGAGTGAGTAACTGAACAAAGTTCAAATCCACAAGATGGGTTGCAATCAGTCCAAGATCGAGAATGAAGAATCAATTATGCGATGCAAAGAGCGAAAGCGATTCATGAAAGAGGCTGTATCAACTCGCAACGCCTTCGCCGCCGCTCACTCAGCCTACACAACTTCACTCAAAAACACCGGCGCCGCCCTAGGTGACTTCGCGCACGGCGAGGTTCAGAATCCTGGATTGATACCTACCGGTGCTGGTGGCGGTGGTGCTGATAACTCTTATGTGACGGGACCGCCTCAAAAACCCTTCGAGATCCCTCTCCCTCCGCCTCCTCTCCCTGATTTCTCATCTTCGCCTCTTCAGCGTGCCGCGAGTATGCCGGAAATCAAGATCAGTAAGCCCGATCCCAGGCCCATGTCGAAGACCATTCTCGAGGAGGAGGAAGAAGAGAGAGAGTTAGAGAATGAAGGTTCTTTGAGGAGAAGAAGAAGTAACAGAAACACTGGTGGTGGTGGTGGTGGAGGAGGAGGAGGGGGTGTGAATAGTAATAGACGGTTGGAGGATGAAGATGTGGCTCCACCTCCTATGCCACCTCCTCCAGCGAAACAACAACCGATCCGTGATCATGTTGGTAATCAAGGTCATCATCATCATACCATGTCTCAACCGCAGCAAAACTCAGCTGCTTGGGAGTATTTTTTTCCATCCATGGAGAACATTGCAGGGACAAGATTGAATGAGGAGGCTGAAGAAGAACACGGACACACTCTTCATAAGATGGAGCATATTGCAAGGCCTAATAGGGTTCATGTTATGGAAGAAGTTGTTGCAACTCAAAGGGGCGTTGGTGTTGGTGTTGGTGTTGATGTTGATGTTGAGGTTCCTTTGCCTAGTCATGAGCCTGAGCATATCCCTGAGCCTGAGGTAATGATGGAGTCACCTATGGAGTCGCCAATGCAATCGGGCTTGAAGGTGAAGCAGATGCCGGTCACACCTCCTCCTCCTCCGACAGAGGCAAAGAGGATTGTGAAACACAGTAGTGTTAACTTGTTGCAGATATTTGCTGATCTCGATGATCATTTTCTCAGGGCTTCTGAGAGTGCACACGAAGTTTCAAAGATGCTCGAAGCAACTAGACTTCACTATCACTCCAATTTTGCTGATAATAGAGGTACTAAGTTGTTCGCTTTCTTTCTACATGGACTATTGGAAATTTGAAATTTAAGTGCTTTTCCATTGTTTCATTTCTCTAGCCGCATCAATCTTGAGATCACCACACCCTACTGCATTATTGTTTGATGTAATAAACTTTTTACTTCCGATTTTAAGACAAATTAATGGGAATGGTGTAATAATGATATTGATTACTTGATAGATTTGACTGTATTCATAGCTAAGTTTTGTTTAAAAAAAGAGAGGTTCAATCTATGTGTGAGTTCTATGTATTAAGTCTCTTCATAGAGTGGATTGACTTCGTTGTATGTATTGCCTAGTTTGGTTTCACCATATAAGGAGAAGATGTGAACAAACACTAGTTATTAGGGTGTGGATAAATAGAGGATAGTTCTATAGTTAAGGAGAAGATGTGAGCAAACACTAGTTATTAGGGTGTGGATAAATAGAGGATAGTTCTATAGTTTAAAGCAGAGGAACTATTAGAAAAGTCATAAACAATGATTTATATTCAAATGATTTTTCATTTGTTTGTGTCATTTAGTTTATGTAGTTGCCCTTGATCCCTCATAATGATACAAGATTTTTGTTGCTGTCATATGTTTCATATTGAATTATATTTATGCTTAGCTTTTTTGTATACTTTTCTCTTGCAGGACACATTGATCATTCTGCAAGGGTAATGCGAGTTATTACTTGGAATCGATCCTTTAAAGGAATACCTAATTTGGATGATGGGAAGGATGATTTTGATTCAGACGAACAGGAAACTCATGCTACCATCTTGGACAAGTTGTTAGCTTGGGAAAAGAAACTTTATGATGAAGTTAAGGTAAGTTGACTGAGCCAAACGGTTGGTAAAGAGAGTTTTAATTATCTCTTCTTTTTTCAATTTAAATTTAGTCATTTTCTTATAGAATCATGAATGTGCCAATGCATGAGTTCTGTAAACATAAACATATACATCTTCTAAGCTTAGTTTCTATTTTCTGTCTGCTTAATATTTTTCTACTTCTCTATCTTTGCTTAATTTTTGGTTAAACATGCATCCATGTATGTGTTTGTATGTGTTCATTGTTTCTTGTTCTTTTCTGAATTTTCCACCTCATATAATGTTATAGGCTGGTGAGCTAATGAAATTTGAGTACCAAAGAAAAGTTGCCACACTAAACAGACTGAAAAAGAAAGGTACTAACTCTGAAGCATTGGAGAAATCAAAAGCAGTTGTCAGTCATTTGCATACTAGATATATTGTAGATATGCAATCATTGGATTCGACGGTCTCAGAGATTAACCGATTACGTGATGAACAACTTTATCCAAGACTTGTTCAGCTTGTAAACGAGTAAGTTATAATGTAGAAATTAGTATTTTTAATTACAGATGTCTAGTAGTGCTTTTTCTCTGCTAATTTCGATATGCTTTTTCTATGGACTGCAGGATGGCCAATATGTGGAAAAAGATGCTATCTCACCATGAGAAGCAATCGGAGACTGTGACATTGTTGAGATCGTTGGACCCTTCACAATCTCCTAAGCAGACAAGTGAACACCATCACGAGCGAACATATCAACTATTGGTTGTCGTACAACAGTGGCATTCGCATTTTGAGATGCTAGTCAACAATCAAAAGGGATACATAAAAGCCCTAACTAATTGGTTAAAATTAAATCTTGTCCCTATTGAGAGCAGTTTGAGGGAAAAAGTTTCTTCACCTCCAAGAGTTCAAAGTCCGCCTATACAAGGTCTTCTCCGAGCATGGAATGACTGTCTAGAGAAACTTCCCGAAGAACTTGCTAGGACAGCTATAGGAAACTTTGCTGCTGTGATGGATACTATTTTCAACCAGCAAGAAGACGAGATGATTTGTAAGAGGAAATGTGAAGATACTCGAAAGGAGCTTGCTCGTAAAACCAAGCAATTTGAGGATTGGTATCACAAGTATATGCAAAGGAAAATGCCAGAAGAATTTGATCCAGAAAAGCCAGAAGATGCTAATGCTCCTGATGAAGCTGTTACAGAGAGGCAGCTTCTGGTTGAACAAGTGAAGATGAGGTTGGAAGAGGAGGAAGCACAATATGAAAAGCAATGCCTCCAAGTGAGGCAGAAAACGTTGGGAAGTCTCAAAAATCGCATGCCAGAGCTCTTCAGGTCCATGTGTGATTTTTCTCTTGAATGTTCTAAAATGTACATGCATTTATCTTCGATATCACAGCACCTAGGCCAGAACTCATCATGAAGTGCTTTGTGTATTTTGTATGCTTATTTATTGTGAGTAAATTATTTTTTTTCTTGGATATGTTTATGATATTACTCTTGAGATATCCTGATTTGAGGATAAGCCCCAAAGATTAGTTACAATAATTATATAAATAAATTCTATTTAAATTTTGATATAATTGCAAGGAATGAAAGTTGAATGAATTGTTGCCCTTGTTGTAAATTGTTCATGTTCCACGTTCTATCATACCCCATGTTGTGCTTTTATAAATATAAAGAAAATAGAAAAAGCCAAGTCTAGTTTTGGTTCAAATGGTGGGAAATCATACTTAATCTCTCCCGCGTGACGGTGTGAAAACTTCACGCGAGAGGATCCATTGCTGTCATTTACTGTATTTTGGATCTATCAGTTTTTGAGTTTGCTAATTGCTAGGGAGGTAAAAACTCATCTCAAAACAAAATAGGATGTTCTGAAAATCAATCAACAGGACAAGTATTTCATTACATTGTAGTTGTAGTTATTCAGAGATCAATGTATTACAAAAAGCATTTAGGGTTTAGGGTTTAGGATCAAGAACACTTTTCTGCGACTTATGATTACATTGAAATATCACGTTGAGCAACAAAAAAACTTTCTCCCACCACCTTGTATTTCACTTTTTAGATTTATTCCAGTAGGCTTTGATGGAAAAGCTTTTGCTAGTCTCCTTCCTGCATTATCACACAGAAACAACCACTTATAAATACAGTCACAGATGCTTTATTTCCTTACACTTACTATTCAGCGCTTATGCCGCATACCTATTTCATAGAAAAGCTCATTGATGTTCTCAGCAGTTTTAGCAGATGTTTCCATGTAGAACATTCCATTTTCTTGAGCAAATTGATCTCCTTCCTGCATTAGTATAATTTAGCCAAAAAACTTAAAAGGAAAATAAGAACGAAAGACAGATCTGTCGCAATGCCGTGGAATGGAAACTGACCTCAGTTTCGACCTCTCTCTTTGGCTCCAAGTCACATTTGTTTGCTACTAATGCCATCACCAACTTCTGACTTCCTACAAAAAGTGATTATCTTACATGGTTTTACTCTACTGCATATTAATTTGTTAGTTTACTGTGTTTGAAGTATTATATTAGTTTATTACCATGTCTTTGCAATTCCTGAACCCATTTTTTCGCCCGAACAAATGTATCCTGAAATAGAAACCTGGATCAGAAACAACATTGTTGATTATATTCAAGTTTAGCTAAATGAATACTTACAATGCTAGAGATGTCATAAACAACAATTGCTGCTGCTGCACCGCGATAATACATAGGAGCTAAACTATGATATCGTTCTTGTCCTGCTGTGTCCCATATATCAAACTTCACGGTTGCTTCAGATAACGATAATATTTGCGTGAAAAAAGCAGCTCCTATGGTTGGTTCCTATGTGCAGAATGAAGTTTAATGAATATTAAGGTTACTAATCTCTTTGATGATAACAAAATTAAGGTTGCTAAACCTGGTTTTGGTAGAAATGGCCTTTAACAAATCTTAATGCTAAACTAGTTTTTCCTGTTCCCATGTCTCCAAGAAGTACCTATACAGAAGAATCATAGAAATTTTATAAATCTGTAACTATGATCATGATTATTAAACACATTTCTATATGAAATATTAACTTGAGGAAAATCAAATCACATAAGGTAAGACATACCTACCAGCTTGGCTTGAATGATCTTATTCCCTGGTCTTGACATAACAATAAGTTGGAGAAGATTTTGCAGAAGTTGCAGAAAACTGATGATGAAATTTTTAATATGAAAGAGTGTACTGTGTAGATCAAAGAAACTACTAGCTGCATTTATCATTGGAAATTTGTAGATAATAAGGTAAGAGACTGGTAGTTTTGACTAACTTTGACTGGTAGTTAGTCATTTGTAGTTTCAATCTTATGGATTGTTTTTTTTTTTTGTGTGTTCTTATCCATTATACTATACATCATTCAAGAAATTAAGCAATGTGTTGCGGTTAGAATAGGATATCAAATTATTAATTAATTTGAATCGCATCTTTAGTTCACAACCGCTCTTTGATTTATCCGAAGGAAAATGTCAAAAGAGGAAAACCTAATTTTGCATCGTAAAGACAATGCGGGGAGAGATTTAGGTAAGGGGTTGGTTAAGCTTAGGGAAGGTACTAGCACCCTAAACTTCTGTAGTACTCTACAAAAACCTTTTGTTTATTGTATGCTTTTATTTTATTTTATTATCTGTTTGAAATATATTGCTAAGGGATAGAGTGACCTAAGGGTTAGTCCTAAGTTTACTCGGCAAGACATCGCATTTTGTGCCTACATATCCTGACGGGAATGGAATCAGAGTAATTGTAGTTTCCCTTAAAAGGAAGGTTAGAAACGTCTGGACTATGGTCAAGGTTTCAATGGGGAATAAACGTATCTTAAGGACACGCTTACGTGGAATTTAGGGTTTCTATGTTGAATTTGTTAATTGAAAATTTAGGGTTGAAATTAGGGATTCCACGGCAGGAAACCCTAAACAGAGTACGGCGACTCTTTGACCTAATGCTAGGGTAAAAGGCATTTTCGTCCACGGCGGGACACCTAGGCTATTAGGGTTTTGAAACAGTTGAAATTAGGGTTATTGACTCGGCGGTCAAACGACTAAATCTAATTCCTTCGGAAGGATTCTAACGGCTAAACGTGTAAAATACGGCAAATTATTATACGGCAAGATTAAAGTGCGAAAAGTAAAGAAAGCGGAAAAAACGTCGCGACGATCACTCGCGTAAATTACAAATCCCCAAAAAATGCGAAATAAAAAATAAACTGCGACCATGGCATCGCGTAAATTACATCCATGGAAAATGCAAGAATAATAATGAAATAAGAGCGACGATTGTCTCGCGTAAATTACAACTATAAATTGGAGTGCAAAAAATAAAGAATCAATAAACTATACAATTGAGAAAAAAAATGTTAGGAACGTCATAAATTAGAAATCTAAATGTTTTTTTTAATTACAATTTATTAAAAACTAAATTAACTATAAATCATAATAAACTGTTACTAACTATAAATTATAAAAAAAAAAGAAATACTAACTATAAGCTATTAAAATGTTTTTAATTATTAATCATCAGAAAAAATATAATTTCAAGTTATTAAAAAAAATAAACTAATTATAAGTTATAAAAAATAGTTTTTTAATTATAAGTTTTATATAGATATATATAGATTTTTAAAAAGGTTTGTAGTAACTTTAACTAAATAATAGTTTTAATTTACAAACTTAGATTTAAATTTTAAAAAGGTGGTTTAAATTTGAAAAAAAAGTTTTAGTTTTAAGAAAAGATTTTAATTTTGGAAGAAAAAAAAACTTTAAAAGAGGTTTTAACTTTAATAAAAGAGTTTTAAATTTTATTAAAAAAAAAGCTTTAATGTTGAATAAAAGGTCTTAATGTTAACTTTATGTTTCTTTTGTTGTATTTCTTTTTTTAAAAATGGTTTAATTAAAAATAATGTACTAACCTCTAAAAAAGGAATTTTGATTCAAGAGGAGTTTTAATTAAGAAAATTCATTTTAATATTAACTAAATCTAAAAAGTTAGGAAAAGCTTACAGTAACGGCGACGGATTCTTGAGATGAGATTTGAAGCAGTTCCGGAAGGAGGACAATGATGAGAGCTTGAGCTTCTCTGAGTCGCGATGATGATGATTAACGAAGGAAGCTCTGTCTTCTTCTTCTGAGCTTCTCTGAGTCGCGATGATGATGATTAACGAAGGAAGCTCTGTCTTCTTCTTCGAAGAACCGTCCCTTTTTTCTCCTTCTGGGTTCGTGGGTTCCTCTTTTCTTCTGATAAGTTGTGAGAACGGCCGTCGTTTTTTCTTTTGCCTCCTTCTCCCTTTTCTCAAATGCAACTCATGTCAAAAAGTGAAGAAGGTGGGATTCAAACTCTCAACCTTTCACACTCACAACTCCTTACACACGATCTCTTGCCAATTGTGTCATTTTATTCATTCGAAATAAAGTGGCACTAGAAACTATGTAAAGGTAGGATAAATTTGGGGTGCAACACAATGTTGATTGGATTTGGTAGTGCTAATAAATTGCAAATTAACATGATGATATACGTCTGAACATAAATGGAAATAAATGTTTCTAATATCACATGCATAGTCTTCTAGCTAGTTGAATCAAAATAGTTTCATAAAATTCAAACTCATTTTGGTAGCTTCAACTATGCATGAGTATTTTTTCAAAATGTAGTTTTAGTGAGAGAGTGATCTAGAGGTCTTACATCAATTTCAACTTAACTTAATTCATTGATGAGTTGTACAAGTCATCAATATACATTGAAGGGTGACAGCCATCCAAAATCATAGATAACAACAAGTCATGTAATATGTAAACCATCCAAATGTAATTGTTTTTTAGAACTTGACCAAGATTCTTCATTTTTCATTTCACCAATGAGAGATAAGAATAGATTAATTTGAGTAAAGTTTTGAACAAAAATTTTCATTTTTCATTTCATCAATCGGAGATAAGAAAAGATTAATCCGAGCAAAGTTTTGTTATGTCTGAGTCTCATATGTTACAATATTTAGAGGTATTATTTATTGCATCTTTAGTGGTGTTCATACGTCCTTGTGAAAAATAAAAAAATGTTTTTATAAAACAAAGATATATTTTCGAACTCACCAAAAGTCCACACTCATCCATTCGTAAATGAGTCACATTCTTATTTTGTCAAAAATTAGTACAAAGATGCACCAGACTTTTTTCAACACTTCCTCATTTTTAGCAACACTTTCTCATTTGTGCGTGAGAACCTCAAATCCACCATTTTTCAACATTGCTCAAATTTTCTTCAATCCAAAAGCTTACACTTTTCACTTGTCAAGTTTTTCATTTGCCTCATTTTTTTGTTTGTTTATGATGCATGCATTACTAAATAGGTTGCTCAAGATACATTAGGTTGTAGTTAAACTTATAATATGTAGTTTATTGAGGCATGCATTGCTATTTAGAGCATAAGGTATGAGACATTTCTGCGTTTTTTTGTCATTTTTTGCATTTTAGGAAAACAGGAAGTGCACTTATTTATTTTCTCTGAATTTGAATTTTTTAAAAATTCAAAAAATGCACTTTCGTATTTTCTCTTCATTGTTTGATTTTGTCTACTTTATCTGCATTATTTGATTATGTCATTTGGGTTTGATTTTATCTACTTTGTTTGATTTAGTTACAAGCAAAATGGCTAATAACTAAGAACGATTGAGGCACACTAGAGTGTCCTAGCAGGTATCTGTTCGCAGGGAGAGAGTTCAACCCTCGCGACCACCGGTTGGTGCCAGTTCATTTGATATGGAAATGTCCACTTACGGAGTTTAGGTGTCTCCAACTTCGTCTTTTTGGAGGCAAGTGTCACCTATTGTTTCCGCGAAAGCCCCATTTTTCTACATTGATACACCTTATGTCGATGTTCCTGAGATTTTTGGAGGATGTCCCTATGAAACTTCACTAACCTCTGTATGCAAACCATGCTACTAGACATGTGTGGGATGAAGATGTAAAATAAAATTGTATTTATTCTTTGAAATATGTACTTGTCAAATAGTACATAATATAGTATGGGTGGTCAGAGGTCTTAGTGATTTTCTATGGTTTAGGTCTTGCTTACTGTAATGAGAAACCCTGCTTGATGGTGTTTTGTATATATATATATATATATATATATATATATATATATATATATATATATATATATATATATATATATATATATATATATATATATATATATATATATATAGAGAGAGAGAGAGAGAGAGAGCAAACTCACATGAGGTGATAAACTTTATATTCTCTAGGTATTTTGTGTATGTTTTGAGTTATCCTTCCTCATGCTAGGTATGAGGTATTTATACAGGCCTGGAGCCGAAAGTTAGGGTTTCTCGATAATGATAACTGCTCACTTATTCATTGTAGTGGACCGTTGAATCCTTATTTTCTAGGAAGATACAATTTAGCCCGTTGAATATGAATTCTCTTTGATTGAGACGTGATTTTTCCCATGTTTACCATGATGGGGCAAGTAGAGGCGTTAAAGGCGAAATTGTCCCTAAGTGCGGGCAGCAAAAGGATATCGCTCCTAACCGGCAGGCTAATATTTCCTCACCTTTGGTGGGCCTTTACACATATACCACTACACAGCCCCTTAATCACAAGGGCTTGATAAAGGGTAAAGTGCTTATAGTTGCTCATTGATTCTTCAGGCGAGGTGTCGAGTCTCTTGGGTAAGACTTTGGTTGAGACCCTTAGGCAAAAATTTTAAGTTAAATCTAATACGGTAGACTTTGGTGGAAACCCTCAAGAAAGACCTTAGGCTGAACATTGTCTAAGGAGATTCTAAGTCCCTCAAGCAACACATTCAAATTGGTCTGTTTGACGGGACTCTAAGTCCCTCTGGCGAGATCATGCATTGAGCTTGTATGACAAGGCGCTAATTCCTTTAGGAGAGGCGTTGAGTCTCTCAAAAAAGACTTTGGTTGAGACCTTTAGGCAAGACTTTCAATTTAAGTCTCTTGGATCAGACTTTGATCACACCCCTTAGGCGAGACTTAGACTGAACCTTGTCTGAGGAGATTCTAAGTCCCTTAGATGAGGCGTACAGATGGTCCTATTTGATGGGAATTTGAGTCCCTAAAGCTAGATCATGCATTGTGCCTGCCTGA